CTAATGCTACATTTTGCATTATTTCATGATGCCACTTTTACTCAAGAACAATATTGCAAAGTTCTAGTTTATAAATAAAATGAATCAACCTGCAACTTATAACAGAAGGAGCTGGTCTTATGCACAACAAAGAAAGACTCCAAATGAACAAAGAACCAATATAGAGATGTTCCCTAAATTAGCATTAGGGATTACTAGCATCACCAGATGAGCTGATTTTAAGTGCTATGGATGGCCAATAAGAAGCAGCAGGACTTTAAGGAAATGAGAGGAAAGATTTTACTTTTATCACAGTGACCTAATTTGAAGAGTTAAGTAGCAATTAAATCACATTTACTGCTCAAGGTACATGATGACCTGTAATGTCAGTTATCAGAAATGTCCCTAACTTGGGCAATTAGCTTTGAGTCAAATATGGTGTTCTGACTTTAAGCCTGATTATAAATTTGGAAACATGTATAGACTGCATGGTGCAATAGAAAGGGCCTAGTAAAAAATGTATATTTAAATTTGGCTCTGACATTTACATAAAAGCCCTCTTTAGAGATACACTAAAGCAGTTTTCTCAAACTTTAAATGTGTACATAAATCATCTAGGGATTTTGTTGAAATGTAGATTGTAATTAAATAGATCTGATGTGTGATGCATGGAGTCTGAGATGCAGCATTTCTACCAAGCCCACATGTATGCTGATGCTGTTGGTCCCTGAACCAACTTTGAGTACCAAGGTCTTAGAAAATTATTGTTAGAATGTGGAAAAGGCACATGTGTGCATAGCAAGACACTTTGTGAATGGTAAAATAGCACATATAACACTTTACATTGATTAAAAATAGTCAAGGATTCAATTCATCAAGAAAAGTCCTAGTAGAACAAATTATGTTTCAGATACTTTTCAATTTTTCCTTTTTCGCAAAACCAAAAACAAAACTGGGAATTAGAGAGGCAGAACAAGAGAGATATTCATCCTAAACAATATTGTTGCTTTTTTACTGTCTTGAAAGATTCACTTCTGTATCACTATCCTCTAAAAAATGGGGTGGGAGGTGGGAACTGCTCTTGTTTTGTTCTTTAGAAGTTTGCACAATTAGAACCAGTACCAGATACATCCTAGAGATTGACTTGTTCCAAGTAAAATAGAAATAGAAAATTACAAAGAGGAGGAAGATGGTTGGCCCCAGGAACACAGGCAGCAACAAGAAGGGACCACTATTAGGGGAAGAAATTAAAAACTAGTAAATCAGACACAAGAACAGAGACTCAGAGCTGTTTAAACTCAGAGCTGTTTAAACACTTAGCTTCCCTTAGTGAACCTGTTGTTTCTCATTGATGTTTGCATTTTCTAAAGGAAATGAACAAATTTCACAGGCACAGTCACTGATTTATAAAGCATTTCTGTGTTCCTTATCTAAAATACAATCAACAATTCCCTGTTGAAGAAAACATAGATTCTTTCTGAGTTTGCAGTCCCACAACATTTTGGCCAATATTTTATTATTACATGGTCAGTTTGCTACACTATATGAAAAAGATTTTTATCACATATTAGAGAACACAAAGCAGATCCCTCCCATGGGTTGAACCCTTTCCAATCTTTTAGATTTTGGACAGAATGACTCTGTGTCACACATGCAGATTACCAACATCTTACTTGTTCCCATGATGAACCTCTTTACAACAGTTCTGGAGCCACCATGATTACAGAGTTAGAACTCTGCTTCAGAGAAACTGAATTTTCATCAGTCTCACTTTTACCTAAGTTTTATACTTTGTCTTCCTGCTCCCATTTCTGTTTATCCTCTCTCACCTGCTTATAGTGAAGGGCAGTATCATTCACAATCCAAAATGCCATTATTAAACAAATATGCAAGAATGAACACTTAAGTTTAGTGCCATCAGAGAGAGAAAGAAATGATAAACAAGGCTGAAATTCGAGTAACTGTCAATGTGTTCTGGCTGTGTCATTTCTTTAAAAAATAAATTCAAAGTGAAATACTAACACCAATTACTAACTTAATTCCTCAGTCCAGTCAATATCAATCATATCATGGTGCCATTTAAATGCAAAACAGCTATTGAGAGATTACTCTGAAAGTATTTAAAATGCAGAGATTTGAGAAATATTTAAAGACACCAGAACTGTGCTCTGGTGGGGAATATCACACAGCTGCACGTTGTTTTCTGCTGTAACTCCGGGTAATCTGGGTCAGCTGCCCCAGGTGGGTAGCCTTATAATTAGGCAGCTCTTCATTTTCCAGCCGCTTTACCTAAGAAAACCTGAAGCTTTGAGGATGACTGAGCAGCAGTTCCCCTCAACAGAAACACTTGTGTGGTGTACCAGGAGTGGTTTTAAATGGTGGAGATAATTACTTAATTTGAGCTGTAGCAACTGGCCAAGTAAACATGTAGCAGCCAGGAAGCTATTAGCATGATTTTAAGGCAATTATTCCATTAGTGTTTAATAGTCTCCAATTAGTCTTCTCTGACTATCAAAGTTTGAATATCTTTTTTTCCTCCAAAAATTCTCAGTGCTGAATAATGCAAAAAGGTGCCAAACCTGTTTTTAAACCTGGTTTTTTTACATGTGTGGATCTTCCAAACCCATTTACAGAAACATGGGGGTATTCAGGAGTATAGATTTGATGAAATATGTTGTGTCTATTTTTTTCTCACAAGTATTGGAGTGAGAAGGGGAAGTTTTACAGGGGATCCATTTGAGCATAATACCAAGAGGAGTTGGGAAAACAATATAAATTCCAGTGGAAGCCCAATGCCATCATCATCTTCATGTCCGTACTCTAAGATCACCCAGATACCAAAATCTCTCACTTCAGGTTTTTATTTTGTCCATGGGAGGAAAGGAAAATTACTCTGTTCCCACTAATGCTTACTTCCTTTTTCCTTTACCCTGGTTAGTCACAGTTGCTGCTGAATCATCCAGATACAAATCAAAAAGCCTTTCCCTCCAAAATTCATAGGGTATCTTCCCAAAGGTCCAATTAAGGGGTCAGATCCCTGAACTGATAGGGATCTGCATTTGTCTTCGCTTAGCTTCAGTTTTTTCATCTGTGACATCGAGGTAATAGTGCCAGCACTGCCTGCTTCATGGGGTTTTGGAAGGATTATGGGAGCTGGTGTACATAACAGAGATTGGAAAGTGAAATATTACAGAAATGTAAGGTAGACTCAAAAAGGTATCATACCATCTCTCAGAACTAGATAAGCAAACTTAGGCTTTTAATCCTGTATCTCTAGAGAGTCACCTGCCAGAAAGTTTGCATCACACTGATTGCCCTTCTTACCTTCTATGCATATAAAAACATTCAGAGGAGACCATGTGAAAGAAACTGTCAAAAATCCAAATAAAAATGAAGAAGGAAAAGGAATGGGAATGCCTGTGGAAGCAAGAATGGAGTTATGCCAGAGTTGTGCTTTCTACTGTCTCCTTGAAAAGAGCAATCCCCAGGCTCACCTAGGTAGCAGAGTAAGTGCTGCATGGAGAACCTCGGGTTGGTTCTTTTCCTTGGAGATCCCTGGCCCTTGGGAAGCTATCTGTTGAAGAAGGACAAAAGGAGACAGCCCCTTCTGTGGATAGCACTTGTAGCAGAGACTGTGCCTGCCATTGCTGTCAAATATTCACTTGACTAACAACCATCGATTTGAGGGACTAATCAATGGCATCACTGTTGGTTGGAGCATCTAGTGATTTTCAAAATAACCCTTCTTTTGTTTTTGTTTTTGTTCTGTTTTGTTCTTTATTATGTTTTCCTCCAATAGCTGAGAGGGGGCGCTGGATGGAGCAGATCAAGAGGAGGTAGACCAGAACGTTGAATTTAATAACCCAGCTTAGTTCAGGGCCAGAAGTGGACTGTTCATGAGTAATTTGCCCTCCAGCCCAGCTCTGAAAAGATCAGGTGTGTGCTCCCGTAGCCCAACTGCATAGCCAAATTGCTAATAAAGTATGGCCGTGTCCCCAGCTGTCATTGTTGTAAACTAGTCCTGAAACAACCCTCACTCCTGGATACCTGATCTGGGGGTTGCTAGAATCTCCCAGCCTAGAAACCTGCCCGGTCTGTGGTCCAAGTCGCACACGTCAAGCCGAAGCTTCTTGATCCCTCAGGTCTCTTCCTCGCTTTGTCCACCCTTCTTTCCTTCTAGGCTGTCTGGACACATTCTCAGTCACCTTTACCCTAAAATTTGCCTATTAATCCCACCCCTCTACTGCAGGTCACCCAGGTTCCCCTGCCCAGCTTCTGTCCCAAGCAGCAAACACACGGTCCACAAGGGTTTGCTTTTCTGACCTGGGCGAGTGTGTTGCCAACACGCACTGGGACCAGACTCCAGACGGCGACCACTTGGCCAGGCCCCCCGGGGTCCACGCCAGTACTCAACGGTGCCCTCTGCTCGTCGCCCCCTTCGGCTCCTTTTCAAGGGCAGCTATCACGCTGCCTCTGGTCCCTGAACTTTCATCACTCTTCGGGAAGCGCTTTGTCTTTTTAAAGGAGATTGGGGACGAATATTAATGACTCTAGCCGAGAATCTATCAAATCCGCTCAATTCCATGCCAGGGATAGACTCAGGTCCTTGCACCGGAGGCGAGCCCCTGACACTAGCTCGCGTTCGCCGCACACTGTCACCCCACAGACCCAGGGATCGCTCCCACTCCCCCAAATCTGCAGGGGAAACCATAGGAGGGGGTCACGAGGCACCATCCTGGAGCCCAGCTTCTCCTCTGCCCCAGTCCTCCGCATATAACCTGCTTCAAACGCCCAGGAGAAAAGCAGTCACCTTGACTCTAGCGCCTCGGTCCTTAGAGGTCTGGAAAACGCCAGGAAGCCCAAGGCTACCCGGCACGGGCTCGCCTGGCCTGAGACCCACCCTGGAAGACGAGTTTCCCTCCCGCGGGCATAGTGGCAAGTTACCACTTAGTGGCAGATAAAGCAGGGCGGGGCAGGTGGAGCGGGCGCCGAGCGCCTAGCCGGCAGCCCTGCGCGCCTACCTGGAATGGCTAAATTGGTGAGGGGGATGCTGTGGATGCTCTCCGGCAGAGTTGCCATCCAGTCGGCTAATTTCAGCTCGTTTTTCCCCTGAGACGAGGCCATCGTGCAGTCGGCGTGCAGCGCGCTGGTCCCAGCACTCCTCGGGCAGGTTGGCAGGCTGCTGCCGCTAATCCAATGTTTGCTCCAGCCCCGCTAGAGTTTACACTCCTCTGTGCGCCACACCCACAGGATGGCGCAGACACATGCTAATTTTAATAATTATTCAAAACACCCCGTGCTCCCTTAGTGCCTCCGCCAGACTCCGCTGGAGCTTTTGTTCCTGACGTCGGTGCTCTGCTCTCTCCGCTCTCCCCTCCCTCTCCATCTCCCTCCTCCCGTCTTACCCTTTCTAGGCGTCTCTGCCTTTCCTCGCCATTCTGCAGCTTTCTCTGGTTTATTTTTCTTTTCTATTCATTTTTTTTTTTCCAACTGCTTTGCCCATGGCTTGCTCGGTCCTTTGGTGTGACTTTCTCGTCCTGTTTGTACGAAAGACAGTCTTGCAGTTGAACCTAAAATCCTAGTAGACTTTGGGATGTTATTGCTTCCTGAGGAACAGGCTTTTCATGCTGGCTTTCAGGGCTTTCCATCGCTATCAAAGAGCTTTCCTTTTTGTAATCTACAACAGGTTATACCTTTCCTCAGCCAGAGACCACAACCCTGTTTATTAAAAAATGATGATCTTTATTCACTCTTTTGCCTTCTTTGTGAAATAGCTGGTAAGTGTGGGCCAGTGAAGGACATGGTAACTTCTAGGTGGTTCCCACCTAATCCTGGGTACCTTGCTCCAGACATTTCAAAGTCAAGAAATGCTGTTCCCCCTTCTTTTCTCAGATCATGAGAAGTCTACATTATTTCTATGGAGAACACTGCCTCCGTCCTGTCAGTTTCATGGCACTCAGGGTAAGACTGGAGTCTTATGCTGGAAGAAAATCACCACATCTCCCAGTGACATGCTCTAATTATTGCCAGTAGCATTTGTTGGAATGTATTTGGTACCATTCAAAGTGATCTATGTAACTGTCTGGATTTTCATTCTTTGCAGACTGGAAAAATGTGCCTCTCTCAAGAGAAATCACTCACTGTGCCTCCAAAGAACTGTCTGGGTCCACCTGTTCTCAGATGAGTAAAAGGAGAGAGGTGAAGTTTTACAAATGTAATGAGACCAGCAGTGGCCTCAATAGGAATTATAGGAGATGAACTGAAAGTGTGCTGGGCCTTTGCAACCCAGGAAATGGAGATGTAATAAAAAGACCTCTGTTCTTTCATGCCAGGGTTGTGTAAATTTTTATTTTTCTATGGGAAATGCTATTAGATTGGGGAAATGACAATCAACATAGGAGACAAAGAGAGCCATAAAAAATGAGAATAATTATTCAAGGTTAGTGAATCCATTTAATCCCAAATAGCATTAAAAAAATAAGAAAAAAACCTGGAGCCTAGCTTATTTCCTGCAATGATGCTAAGTCCTGAGAATATTCACCCCCAAATGGGGAGCAATATGGGAAAGATAGAGGACAGATAATATCTCATTTTGGTTATCAAATTTTCCATCTACCTTATAAAATAAATTCATACCTTCAAGACGACACGGTACAGTTATTTTTAATGATGAGGAAGAGATGTACTGAAATTTTTTTCCCCAAATAAATCTTAATATATATGCTAGTACAATAGAACCCACACCGACATATCCTTTTAATTAAGATGATAATTCAGCTTACTATAGGACTCCTGGTAAAGAGATCTACAAACACCACCCTTCTGTAAGAAACCTACAAACACCACCTAATGCTGGTGATCTCAGGGCATGATTGCAGGGCAATGAGGAAAGTTCAAATCTAGCGGTCAGCTGCTCTGTCTCTGAGTAGCTTGGGCAAGTCCTCTAGTCTCTGCTAGCCCCAGTTTTCTCCGTTGTAAAGTGGTAATAAGAACTCAGAGATTTGTGGTGAAGCTTCCAGAAGAGAGTGCATATATGTTTAAGATAACAGGATATATGTATTTACCATTCTTTGTCTTTTCTATACTTATGAAGTATTTTTTTCAAGAGCATGAAATAATTATTGAGTCTGGGGTATATTTTTAATAAGACACACTTTAGAAATGTGCCCTGTTAAAGTATATTGAGCTTATGTGGCCCTAAAAGTTTACAAAGCATTTTTTTAAAAATGAAACCACCTTAAATGGTAAGGAAAGTTCCCTCTCTAAAGAATCATACTATCTTTTGGCAAAACACACAAACAATCCCTTCTGTGTTTCATTTGATTTGGATTTCAGGATTTTAAATGTCTTGGTTTAATATAAGTTATTATCATTTTCTGCTTGCAACCCATGAAAAAAGACAGCCTGAAAGTTGATAGTTGTGAATTTCTTTCTCAACCTTATAAACAATATTTTGGGCAATTATTTGACCCAGTTTCTCCATCTTTCTATCACCAACCCTGCTGCCATTTACTAAAACACATTAGAACAATCACGTAATTTCTCTGGGCTTTAAATTTGTCACTGGATTAATCAAGGTTCTCCAGAGAAACGGAACCAGTAGTATATATAGAGAAAAAGAGATTTAGTTTAGAGAAATTGTCTCATATGATTGTGAGAGCTGGCAAGTCCAATATATGTAGGGCAAACTGGAAGGCTGGAACATGAGATAAGAAATGTTCCTGCAGTCTTGAGTTCAAAATCTGCAGAGCAGACCAGCGGGCAGGAACTCAGGAAGGACTTCTATGTTGCAGTTTTGAGGCAGAATTGCTGCTTCTTCAGAGAGCTTTAGTCTTTGTTTTTAAGGCCTTCAACTGATTTAATGAGGCCCACCCACATTATAACAGGTAATGCACTTTACTCAAAGTTAAATGATTATAAATGTTAATCACATCCACAAACACCTTCACAGCAACATCTACACTAGTGTTTGACCAAGCAATTGGGCATCACAGCCTAGCCTAGTTGACATATAAAATAAACCATCAAACCCACTTGCAAATTAACTAGAAGCTACTACCAAACTCTAAAGCCCCCTTTGACTCTATTTTTCTATCATTTTATTTTCTTTATGATTCTTTCTCATTTATATAGCTGCTCAAAATAGCAAAAGGAGGCATGTAATATTTACTTTCTTTCTTTCTTTTTTTTTTTTTTTTTTTTGAGACGGAGTCTCACTCTGTCGCCCAGGCTGGAGTGCAGTGGCGCAAACTCGGCTCACTGCAAGCTCCGCCTCCCAGGTTCACGCCATTCTCCTGCCTCAGCCTCCCTAGTAGCTGGGACTACAGGAGCCCGCCACCATGCCCGGCTCAATTTTTTGTATTTTTAGTAGAGATGGAGTTTCACCGTGTTAGCCAGGATGGTCTTGATTTCCTGACCTCGTGATCTGCCCGCCTCGGCCTCCCAAAGTGCTGGGATTACAAGCGTGAGCCTCCGCGCCTGGCCTGCTTTCAATTTTTAATTCATGCAGACACCTCAAGATATAGACCAACATTTTTTCCCCCACAAAACAGATGAGAAAACACCAATGGTTTTTAATTATGGCATTGATAGTAGTCTACCTCTGAGAATCAAATGCTTTTAGGCATAAATGAAAAGAGAAAAATGACTCATTGCAGTGGCTTCGTGCTACCACCAAAAGTTGTTTGTAATGCTCTGCTGTCCATCAAATTCATACCACGCAAAGTTGATGAACATGGATATTCATCTGGAACATTTTCTTACTTCATATCCTCTTCCACCCATAAAAATACATAACTCTTTGCCATGTATGTTCTTCCATTAATTCATAATCTTTCTCAATCATTGGAGATATGTATTTTATTTTTGTAACTGGATTTATTTTGAATTATATTCTGAAAAACAAGGGTTCTTATAGATCAGAAAACTTTAGAACACATTTTAGTCAAATAATATTTTGAAAGAGGAACTTTGTCTAAAACAATTCTGCCAAATTATTTTTTTAAACACAGTATTCTAAAATATACACTTACAGAATCAGACTTAAAACATATCCAAAAGGGCAACAAAAAACCTTTGTGAAATTAACTATTAATAATCAATTTTTTTAAACCATACTTTACAACTTTTATTTAGATATTCCATCCAAAGAATTTTTCTGTGTTTTAAGGACAAAAATGCTTTTGTACTTAAATTCAAAGTAGAAAAAAGTGATGACCCTCTCTTTTCACCACCAGTTTAACCCTGCAGAGTTTTCTGTCTTATCTCTCTTGTCCTCCCCTAGTCTACCTTTTATATGTCAGCCCTAAACAAGCTAATTTACACTCACTGAATGTAATCTATTGGCTGGAATCACCAGTTATAGAATGTGATGATTCAAATCCAGGTCTTCCCAGTCAATTACTGTGCGTTTCTTCATATCTTTTTCTGAAATATAAAGAATGATTATTTTCTAGTGGAGGTGCGGAAATGGAAGATGCTATGAAGCTTAATAAAGTAAGGAATTTAAAGTTTATTAACAGACTGGAAGATGAAAAATTATACTTTCATGCTTCTTGCTCCCACCATGACTTTGCTCATGGACATGAAATGAACGTACTTCATGCTTTCATCTATCAAAATTCTTTCCATTCTAACCAACGCCTCTTTGCAATTTCCCTTACTATCTGCAAGTAGAAGTAATCTTTCTTATCTCTGTACACCCATTGCGGTTTGTAGTATTGTGTCTCTCATTCTCTAGCTAGTCTTAAAGCATATTGTAGTCAAGGATGATGTCATTTAACACTCTCTAATGTCTTTCACAGAGCCCGAGACATAATAAGGGCTCATTCTAATCATTCGTTTTACTCACTTATTTCCTTATTTCATAAATATTTATTGAGTGTCTATTATGTGCTCTCAGAAAAAATAGAGCAGCAAGTCCCTGAACTCTTTGACTTGATGCTCCAGGCAGAAAGTGGCAAATGATAGCTTTATGGCTCAATAAATAAATGACTTGGCTGTATCTCTTATCTCAATGGCAAAATCCAAATTTTGCATCCCTATTTTTAGCACTTGGGTAAGTAGCAAAACACCAAAGACTTACACCTTAGTTTTGAAAATACATTTTAAAAGAAAAATTGGAAGAATTGTTTTGTCTCTCTATACTTTTTCCCTTAATCTTTCCCATCTCTATTGCATTTTTCCCTAATACAATAGGGAAGAGATTTGGAAATAACATGATAAATTCTTCCAGATCTCCAGGAGTCATTACTACGAAATGTTTGATTTCTCAGAGCTTGGGCATTGGTGGAGGTGGAAGTGGCTTGGGAAGGGAGAGGGAAACTGTTTTAAATTCATGTGCAGAGTAAAAAAAATCCTGGAACTCTTCTACCCATCACTGCCAAAAACTTAGGACCATTGTACACTAATACTTGTAGAAGCATTATTCACAATTCCCAAAGGTGGAAACAACACAAATGTTAACTGACAGATGAATGGATAAACAAAATGTGGTATATACATTCAATGGGATAT